AAAAATGAAATCGTGATTGTGTCCTTGAACTAAGGAATTATTACATCACATAAAATTATGAAATGAGCACCTCGTGCTCATGCTAATTATGAAATAAGGTTCACGAAATACACTTCACAATATATATGTATATGATGAAATAACTGAGCTAAAAGTAATGAAAGTTTCAGAATGTAACAAAATTTTAGGATAATTCCTTCCAGACTATTTTTTATAGAAACACCGAGCGGCAGTCCAAATGCTTGTTGTTCTAACCAAACGTTGTTTACACTCAGCACCGCATGCATGCCACTAATCACGCAGCAAGAAAAAATCGGAATTGTTCACTCTAATCTATACGCACCTTCGCACTCAGATCGAATCTGGCCCAAAATAGCGCTTGCCCAAGTGAAAAGTTTCTTATGCAGAATAAGCTGGCATAGCCTGGCTGGTAAGGTTTGTTCTTGACAAGATGCCGGTCAATTTAATTTGCAAATGAACATCACCTTTGCTAACTGAAGATTTTAACTCGATAGCGTTAAGGAGCTCATGTCGCGGAAAAGCCGATGTCGGTGGCGTGCCAGAAAAATCCTGATTGGTCATTAGGTTCATGACGTCAGAGCTACATAGCCTCGCGCAAAAATTTCAAGTAACCCACAATGCTCACTTGAAACGTGACATCACGCGTGGATTGAGAGTGATTAAAACATGGCATGTAATGCGAATTAAAGGTCGCCGTATGTCTCAAATGATTTCACTTTTGAAAGTAATTATTTTGCCTTAAAGAAATAAAAATTACATATTTTATGCGAAATTCAATCCCGCGACCCTTTAGTTGCGAGTCAGACGCTTTTCACTAGGAACGGCGCGAGCGTCTGGCACGACAAAAACGTGCTTTTTGGTCAGAGCGTTTCTGCAAGCAAAGTAGTTTCCGGAGTCACGCTTTTTGGTCTGCGCCAAATTGCACGGAAGAGGAGCCTTTACAACACAGTATGTTTTTAAAACTCCCCCCCTCCCCCCCCCCCCACACACACAAACACACAAGCACTTCTTTATAGAGCGGAGTTTCCCCAGTGTCGTGTCAGTCAGCAAACAAATGACACTAAACTCTGGACAGCTAAGGCCATCTATAAACGACGACCGCAACCAGACAACCGGCTTGCCGCTTGTCTGGTTGCCGCCGTCGCGCATAGATGGCGGCAACCTCTCTAGCCTTTCCACTACGGCTTGCCGACTTGCGGCCGGCCATTACTTCATTTACACCATACTTCAGCTTCGCTGCTCTTCCTTCTTCAACCGAGTGGAAAGGCTGAAAGTATTCCTGAGGAATTGCCTCCTTCGTTGGTGCGTGTTCATTTGACAATTTTATTTGACACTTGTTAACCACAACCCTTCTTTGTTTTTATTTTGCACCCCGTGAAGCTTAAATGGGTCATAAAACGACTTCAGGTTGGAATGTGCATGACTTTTCCGAGGCGTAGTGGTCCCCTGCCCAAGTGTACTCGTACAGGCCGCCACTGATTCAGAACCTTCTTTGTCGTGGTGAAATTGCGAGGATTAAATGAAACTATTTCTTTTAGTCTTGCCGTCCCAAAGATTGATGTCGCAATTGTAGGATCAAAACCACCCGCCTGACCACAGTCGAGCGCGGCTAATGAATTGGACAGGAGGACTGCGTGAGCACCGTACATCCCCTCGTAACAATCAATGTCTTGGCAGACACTTGGATAGTGGCTCGTGTCCAACCACTGCGGTGATGAGAATAGCCGGATTCTAACAATGCCTGGAGCCTGAGCACGCGTTTTCTTCCTTTAAAACCCCAGCGGATTAATAGGATTAACGTTGGCGGCATAAGATAGGCACCAGGTCACATGGCCGCTTCTGGCTCTGAGTTGAGGGGATGAACGATGCTCATATTTCTCGAATTTTTTGGCGACTGCCATTGCCTAGAAAAAATAGCAAAGCCAAGCTCAAGCAGTTATTAACGTTAGAGAGTGATCCTGAGTAGTATTTAGTGATGTATAGAAATATTTTTATAGCTCCTTTAAGCAAGGTACAGAGGGAGACGAAACTTGGGCAATAAATTGAGAACAACGCTCGTGTGAGACTTACAGCGACTGCCAACGTTCGGCTGTCTCTCTGAGGTCACTAAAATATACTTTTTTATTTTTTTCCGTACACACGTGTAGTTCTATGTAACGTCATATTAATAAGTCGTATTTAGTAATTTCAGTACTTCTATTCTCAGGGACATCTTCCGGATGCAGTTCAGCAACAACGAAAAAATATTTGGGTGCCTAAATAATGTAAAATGGGTCTTGCAACATTTTTTCATGTACTTTCAATAAATAGTGTTAAGAAATAACCCCTAACGTTGATAGCTTGCGGAAACATCCCTTAGTTTTCCCCTAAAAGCAGATGCAGAAAAAATAAAGGAAAGACAGCTGTCGATATCTCCTCAACTCGCAATTTGAACAAGCGGCCGCGTGATCTGATACCGCCAGTGTTCATCACAGTCATGCTCTAGGCGGCTAGGGTTTGGAAAGCGAAATCTTGGGCTGGGAGCTTCAGGTATTGTTAGAGTTGGGCTACTATCATATGTAATTGACATGAGCCGTTACTTGAATGTTTAGCGGTGCTGATTGCCATGAACCCGAGCACTCGACTAGAGGTTATGAAAATCGCTTACGCCACGGTGTCACGTGAGGCTCGGTGTGAAATCGTGACGTCATGTTACGTCATGCTGTCAACAATGTTAAAACATTTAGTGACTTCCTCAAATTAAATCGAGTTGACGCAGTGAGTAACGTGACTTCACGAGGTCACGTGACAACATGTATGGACACCATGACGTCACGTGACAACGTGACACATGGTTAATCATAGTGCCATGAAAACCCACAACTTACCACACTTTTCAGTTCTCTATATGACGATTTGATTCATAGATAGAAATACAGCCGCCAATGTTTTATTCCCATATGTTGATTTTGTGGTACTAACAGAAAAGAAAAAAAAAGAAATATTACCTTGAACCGTTTTGAACCGGTTACCGTTATATTTTTTTTCGGTTCGGTTCCGGTTCAGTTCCAACATGGCGGCAGAAATTTCGGTTCGGTTCAGTTCCGGTTCGGCTAAAAATAACGGTTCAGTTCCGGTTTTCGGTTCGGTTCGGTTCCGGTTCGACACCCTGCTGATGACATCAAGCTATATTCATCAGTTCGTGACATTGGGGGACTGTTCATTATTGCAACAAGATATAAATTTCGTGTCAACGTGGTGCTCATCTAGTAATTTGTTTTTCAATCCACAAAAGACGAAAATTATTTCATTGTACACAAAGCGCGATCAGGTTGGTTTTCAATACACACTACCGTGTGTAACGGTCATACAGAGTGTTGCTACTGTGCGTTACCTTGGCGTTGTTGTTGATAGCCGGCTCACTTTTAAAGAACGAGTCACTTCGATAGTGGGTACTTCCCTACGTACACTGGGGCTAATTCCACGAATGACGCATACTTTTTAGCTTTACATGTTTGATCCATTTATTTTGTTCCTTGGTTTGTTAATGACTTGAATGTCTTCTAGTCAGAGCAACGAAATTCAGCGAGTTCAGAAGCGCCTGGTGTGAACAGCTTATGACAGATACTTTCAACATTGTTAATATAATTATGAATCACTTGTGAACTATTTCGGCTTAAATCGTACCATTCGTGATGCGCGTTTTTACATGAAGTGACTTCTGGCCGGACTGATAGCAATTACTCTTATCATCCGTGAACTTTCACGTACCGACGCGAAGTAGTAGAGTGATTTTACCCTTTTACCCTAATACCCCATATGATTCCTCACCCATGTCTAGAATTACGCACTTGTATAATAAACTTCATGATGGGGATCTGAACATATATGCACATACATAATTTCTTATCAACGCTAAAAAGATTGTAACCTCTATATATACTTTGTTTTTTAGTGATGGGCTTTGTTTCGCTTTCAGCATGCCATATACTCATTCTAGAGACCTCTGATGTTGCTGTATTTTGTTTGCTCACTTAGCTGCGTTTTTAAGGTGACGATTACTTTTGTTCATGTTGCTGTGTTTTCTGTTTGTTTGTTTTTTAGTGTGAAGCTAATTTTTTGTTTATAGTGTACCAATAACAAGGTCTTTGCAGTTGTTTTTGGACACTAGCACAAAATAAAGTATTATATTATTATTATTATTTCTGGAAATGTGCCTCTCCAAAGAATTAAAACAACCCTCACTCTAAAACATGCCAACAGCAACATGACAAGAAATTTCAACAAATTCTCTTAAATTGTAAATCGTCTTCATGTATTATACAGGGTGTCAACTAATCTGGAAAACCTGGGATGGTCAGGGAATTTTGAACCATATGGAAAAGTCAAGGAAATTTTAGTAAAGAGCTAAATCAGGGAAAATGGCACATGGAAGTGGTATGGCGGTGTGCAACGAAACCCAACTGTCGTGCAGCAGCGTGTCTGCACTGAGTAATGTTGCCAGAAATGTCACTAGGCAGATAAAGCAACCATCCATTAAAAGGGATGAGCCACTTGGGCTCCATAATTTAGCAACTATGGCGAACATAGGACCAATAGCAGGTCAGAGTACTTCGGTCGTAGAAGCACTCCTTCGAGAGAAACACCGGTCAGGGAATTTGAAACAAGTAATTCGATAGGCACATTCAAGCAAATTCTGATGTTGTGCACTGCACGTCACAGTTAGCACAGACAAGCAATGGGCTGTCTTTTTCTTTGTTTCAATTATGTAACTGATACGTGCCATCAGAATTGCTAGTGTGGGGGAAAGTGCTAAATTTGAGCTCCAGCTTAAAGTACTATTTGGGGCGCATCAATATCCTGTATGAGCAAAATGCAATGAAAAAGTGCTAATTTCGTGTTCGCACTAGCAGTGTCATGCAGTGTGCATGGGCAGGCCGGGCAAAATGAATCGGCACAGCCTATGTCGGTAGTCATTAACAAAAGGGTTACCTATCATTTAATCTGGTCAGAACACTCATATATTCACCCATGTCTATTTGTAGTGGTGGTAGGCTTTCATATCTCCCGTGATCATTGCACCAGGGTAACGGACTTGGTTATGATTTTCATATTTTCTCCATTTACAGAAGCAGTCAGACTGATAAAAGGCCTGAGTGGTGCAACGCTTGAAGAAATTGAAGCAGGAGCCAAGGGTTGGCTGAAGAACTGCCGAGCATGCGTAAATAGCGCCACAAAAAGGTATGGTACTTAAGCATTATTTCATCTAAACATTTTCCCTTTTCCATCTGACTGAGAAGTGGCAAATTGAAAACATACTTAAAACTAACTTAATAATACAAGCCTTGTATAATTATGACTATGAAACTTAATGTATAGCACTGACTGAAAATTCGGGTACCGTACACCTCGTTGCTCAAATTTTCGGAAGTTTTTTTTTTCCATTTATGCTTACAAACAGTCGCCGTATGCTTCATTGCAAGCATTTTGGTTGTTTGGTCTCGTAGCCTCGAATCCCCGTCTTACGCATGAGAAAGCTAGACCGGGCCACGGTCAGATATTCCAGTTCCACTATATCCAACATAGCCGCCATCTGGGGGCCATACTTCTGAATCTTCTCGTGTTTGCATTTCCCTACCGCGACCAGGAGAAGAACTACTGTCCACCATTCTTCCCGTGCTCTTCGAGCGAGTTTATTTGGCAGATAGGTGCTGCAGTAAAGCGAGCTTGGTCAGCTGAATGTAGCCTCCAAATCATACCAGCTTTATCTTTACTGTATGCGGCAGCAATGGCCTCAGCAACGCTTGGCACTGCGATCATCCAAACATGTGGAAAGCGACCAGTATGAAGTGGAAGTTGCATGAGAACTTAATATTGGCATCAAACAAGTGGAAAGTGGGCAATACCATGCAAAGGTGGCATGGAATTTTTTCATTTAAGTTAAAGACCGACGACCAGTTCGCTCTTTCCACTTTTCACCCGCTTCCTCCTCTCTCTCCTACCCTTTCCACCTATGCCCGCTCCTCTTGGTCCCTTCTTTCCATCCTTCGCTTCCCTCGCTTGAAGGCGTGGAGAGGAGGGTCTTCTGCCTTGCAGAATCTCGAGTCTGGTTGTCGGCTTTTAAAATAGCTTTTTTAGACTGCTTTTTCGGGTTGCCTTCGAGTCCGGAAAATTGGTCGGCATTTGCATTTAAACATCATAGAGTCACTTTGTTGGCATACTATTGCAAATAATTGCTTTGTAGATTGCTCCTTGTTTTTTTTACCTTGTTTTGCAAAAAACAAAGTACTAGTTCATGTTGGTCTTGTGGTGTACTTTGGCATGGTGTACTTTGGCTAGCAGAATCATTCTCAAATCTTAAAAAGTGGTTTTCTGGACTTCTCTTCTATAGCAAACTTCAGTCATTTTTGGGCTGCTTTGAAATTTCGCAGGAAACTTCTAGCAGTCTCATACAAAATTTGTTTCTGAAATTAGCTTTACATCCGAAAAATCTTGAAAATTCCTGATAGGCAGCAAAACATAGGGTATTTACAATGGGCACATTATGGGTACATTATACAATGCATGCTTAGACACTTGATACCTTTATAAAACTGGGAACAATAGGGAATATTAAACTCATAAAAATTTACTTTTCGCTTCATTGCAGGAAGCTTCCACGAGTCTGAGAGTTAAGAAACTCCCATGAGTCAGCTGGAAACTTCCACAAGTCATCTGGATTGCAAGCCATTATTTCATTTCTTATTGTTCTAAAACTAATAAGCAGTGCATTGAAAGCTTCAATTATATTTACGTACCTATTTTACTAATAAACATGTTTTTACAGTTCTTGAACAGGAGAAAAATCATTTGCTTACTGGTGCGGAGCTATGGCTGTGTCACTTGAGAGCTTGCGATTGACAGGTGTTCAATATGTGGTGTACTTACAGACATGCAATAGCTGTGCTTTGCTATGTTAACCATGTCATTTTATTCACACCAGCTTGGTGCAAAGGCCTATTTTTGCAACAGCGCTCGACTATATTGCAAAGACTTGACTCAAGAGACGGAAAGCCGCTAAGGCAACTAATAAGTGTTGCAATTCTTGATTGCCATGGTAAGTCATGGTTGTATCTTGACGTTAGCCCCCTCACATAGTCAGTCGCTGCAGTACGAATCGGCTTCAGTACTCGTCCTTACCACTATATAAGAAGTTTAGCTATTCAAAGCCTTATGGCTTTTTGGGAATAAAATATCCAGGCCGTAACTAGGTGTCCTGTAATTGTTTTCAAGTCGTCTATGGTAGATTTTGCAAGGCATCTTGCAGCCCAAGGAGTGGGCGTTATGCCGGCTAGAAGACGGCTACAGGACGTTTCAAGACGTCCGGTCTATATAATATCTTGCCAAGATGTCCACAAAACGTCTTGTAGACCTTGCCAAGACAAATTTTAAGACATTTTTTGTGTAGGCCACAATGATGGTGCATGAGGTGGGAAAAGGATGGCTAAAAGACATCTTATATGCCTTTTAAAGATGTTAAATACACTTATCTAGAGGTGCTGTAGTCGCCTTCAAGAGTTCTTCAAGACATCTTGCAAGACGTCTTGTAGCCCAAGAAAGACTGGGCATTACCCCGACTAGAAGACGGCTACAAGACATCTTGGGCTATATAACGTCTTGCCAGGATGTCTACAAAACGTCTCGTAGACCTTGCCAAGACAAATTTTAAGACATTTTGTTTTGTAAGCCAAAATAATGGTGCATGAGCAAAGAAAAAGATGGCTAAAAGACATCTTATATCCCTTTTTAAGATGTCCAATAGACCTATCTAGAGGCCCTGTAGTCGTCTTCCCTATTGAAAATTCCATCAAGATACGTAATTTGGGACACTGACTGCCAGTCAGCAGCCTTGATGGAACGTGATGGACCATCAGACGTCATCTGATGGTCCATCAGATGACGTCTGACTGCCACTGCCAAGGGATTTTCATCAACAACGGCAGCATTTATAGAAGAGTAAAGCTATACGCACTCATAAATATCGCCAAATGCCCCGATAAAACAAAATGTTCGAGAAAAAAAAAGAAAAAAAAAGCAAGACCACCGCGGATCGAACCCGCGACCACTTGCGTACAAATCGGATACCTTAACCCCTATGCTGCGCCGTTGGTTAGAAAACTCGATTTCACCATTCGTTTCATACGAGATGCTTCGGTGGGAAATGCAGCTAAGACTTCAGCATGTTATGCAAAGCGCTCGTACATCACTCGCCGTACTTCAGTTCTACTCACCTGCCATTTAGAGTACTTTCGCGCCGTAGAACGATCCTTTTGTTCGCGCGTCTCCGGCCCAGTAGACCTGGTACACCTTGTCTTCGACTACACCGCTAAAGTCCCTTACATCGTCGGAACTCACAAGAGGCTGGGTCTTGTCGAGTAGAAATTCTACTAAAACATAAGACATTGTAGAGCCCGGGCAGGATCGACAGGTTGGAGCCAGCGGGCAAACAAAACGAGTCGAGAGCGATCGTTCATGAAAGCTCGGCGAAGATATGGGCGAAGCGAAGTGCGAAGTGTCATGTTCGGCGCTTCGGTGGGCTTCTGATGAAGGTTGTCGGTCGGTTGCGTGTCATATTTCTAATGTCAGCGGTTTTATGGGCTCACGTCCCGAAATCGTTTTCTCGTGCATAGATTACTTTTTGTATTCATAGATTTGACGAAATAGTGGTATCCGAACGAACTTTACGTCCTTTGACCGTACGTCTGTCTGCAGGTCAAAGCTTTCTGACGTACAGTCAGAGACAATCGATGTACAGTCAGAATCACCACCAGGACATCCTGATGGCATTTCGCGGCGGCCGACTGCCAGCAGAAAACCATCAGAAAGCCGACAAGCGGGGTCTGACTGGAGTTTGACTGTCGGTCAGAGTAACTTGTTGGCCAATCAGACATGCTTGACGTACAGTCAGGCACAGTCAGCAGTCCACTAGAAAACATTGACTGCCAAACAGCGTTACATTGATGGATTTTTCCTTCGGGAAGGTCTTCTATCTCTGTACCTAAAAAACAACTAGACTGGTATCATCGGCATAATGATAAAGCATCGGGCTTTGCTGATATTAACAATATCGTTAATCTAAAGATTAAATAACAACGGACCTAAAATGCTACCTTGCGGTACTCCAGCTCTAATGGGTTGGACAGAAGAACTGTGTCCATTTATTACGACAGTTCTGAAGAAATTTAAAGTACGATTGTAAAAGATTTAAAGATACACCGCGAATTCCATAGCTTTCGAGCTTCTTTATTAAGGTAGTATGGTCAATACGGTCGACCGCCTTCAAAAAATCAATGAAGACACCAAATGTTAACTGTTTTTCTTCAAATGACTATAAAATAACTCCTGCTCTAGCGAGGCAAACTCCGTTGATCGACCTCTGCGAAAGCCGTACTGTGAGTCAGAAATTAATGAAAATTAAGTGCCGAAACTTGTTACTTTATTGTGAATAATCTTTTCAACACATTTCGAAAACACCGGTAATATTGATATTGGCCTATATTTCAAAAATTCGTATTCGTTCCCTCCTTTTGAACAAAACAATGACTTTTGCAGTTTTCATCTTTTTAGGAAAAATACCACTGAACCATGAGAAGTTCATAATGTGTGTTAATACAGGTGATAAAACGTCCAAAACGTGCTTAATTGGTTTTATCTGCAAATCGTATATATCAGAGGAGTTGCTATTTTTAGGAGATGACATAATTAAAGTTGTCTCATTTTGATCAGTTGGAAGGAAAACTGCGCTGTGTTCGTTTCTAGGCTTCATATATGCCATTGATGAAGGTATATGTATGCTACTAACAAAGTTAGTAAAATAACTATTGAAAGCTTCAGCGCGAACTTTTCCTTGCATTGTTACCCCATCTCGTTGCATTACGCGTGTAGCTGGTGTAGAGGGACACCGTTTTAATACTTCATTTAGCCGTTTCCATTCCCCCTCTGCTCTATTCATGCATGACTCGTTGAATAAAGTATTAAGGTAGGTTTGTCTTGCCCGACGCAGAGCATTGTTCAATGTGTTTCTAAATCGTTTAAAAACAACAAGGACCTCAGTTTGACCGAAGTCTCAAAATTGTCGCATTGCTCCTTTAAGAAAGAGCTCAAAGTTTGTAAATAAAGTTGTTTAAAGAAAACACAGATTCGATGGCTAGGCACACAGCTTTATTGAGTTATCACTCTTTACAGCTGGCGATTGGTACACCATGAGGACATATTTCACAAACCATATTGGCACTAGTCGATCGTGCCAATTTATTTAAGCTGGTAATCCACTAATCTATATTATAAACGGCGTAGCAGTAAATTGATACTCCTTAAGAATGTACTGTGTCGGTCGTCATTTCTGGCTGTATATTTAAGGTTCTTTATTTCCTGAGTTTCTTTTTTTTTCCGAATCTGGAATGTTTTTGTCGAGGTTTATTTTTTGCCAGAAGTTGAGTATTTATAACAATATTCTTTTATCTCGATTTTCCGAAATTCGGAGCTTAATTATGTAGTTTTTTTATATAATATATTATAATCCGGTGTAAACATCCGTAGATTGAAAAGAACGAGCTTGCCACAATTAATATTTCTACGGCTGGATTTGTCATTGGCGCCCTTGCCATTGACAATACTAAATTTTCAAACGACAAAGGTTGAAAACAAGTAGGGGTTCCACAAATGCCGAAACTTCAAAATCAATACACACCCGAACGTAGTCGGTAGAGGCTGGTAATCATCCCACCATATCCATCTGCATACCCCGCGGCAGCGTTGCGTGCAATGGTAAGGGGTAAAATATAAAGGCTTCAACTGCCCGCTGCCTTTTCATCTTCAATGAAATCTCCATGGTTCACGGCATTCACTCTTACAAACAACACAGCCCTTTCTTACTCGAAGAAGAACAAATAGTAAGGCGCAAACTGGAAACCGAAACAGCGGCTTTTGCCGTGTCCCGAAAGACCTGTTCACCTTATAAACCTTTGAGGAGATAAGCCGTAAGATTCCTTGTGCCAATGGTCCAAAATATAAAAAAAAGAACAAAAAAAAAAAAAAAAAACTGGGGTGGTATTGTTTGTTAAGGCCATTTACCCTGTACGATGCCGAAACCTTACTGTAAAATAATCTTTTTTTCAATGGTGAATCCAAATTCAGATGTTATGATTAGCTTGATAAAACAATTTTAACGGCCGATGTTTTTCGTTGTTTTTTTTATTAATTTGGAAACATGAAACCACAGGGTGCGTCTGCAAAGTTTTTTAGACATTCCTAAAATAGGGTGCTTGAGAAAGTATATCTTTTTGTGGACTAAATTGCAGAGACGGCGGACATCAGGGACATAAAACGTTAGTAAATCATATAGATTAAGTTCAATCTTGGTCAAATCGGAACTAGTACAAACACATGCGTTTCTAATTATGAGTTTGCTGAGTTTAATAAAAAAACTAAGCACTCATATTTGATGAACTAGAAGCACGTGCGAAGTACGGGGCTCCGCTAAAATAAATGTACCGCTCGTGCAGCAGGAGCAAAGCCGGAGCAAACGCTAAGAAGACTGCAATTTGCGGTTTCGCATCCCTTCCTCCCACCTACTGCACAAAGGGTAACTTAAGCGAACCCTTGCACTTAATACGTACTTCAAGTCGTCCTAAAATTGAGGGGATTTAATTGATGCCCACAAAATTCATAATTAGAACCATATACGTTTTTTTACTGAACAAAAGTTATTCAGTAAAGTTCAGGTAAATCTTTCTGATTTGTATGCTTTTTCCAATCCCTGACATCAGCCATGACTGGCAGTTTGTTCTCCC